CTGTTCGCGAGGTTTTCGACGAATTTCAAGCTCGTCGAAATTACTCCTATTTTTCTTTCATTACAAATCACTATGGGTCAAAACAAAAAAAAAAAAAAAAACATTTTTGACGGACTCGCACATAGACAATTTTTTGTATCTACAATAGTTTCGACTTAAGCGGATACAGTCTCGACCATTGACTTTTTTATAATCTCCCCGAAATTCTCGTCGCATTCTTCCGTGCTCTCCGATTGCTGCTCGTTACCTTGGCTCTTTTCCACCTCGACCTTTGTTCCATTCCCATGATAAGTACCGTGCGTCTGTGGCTCCATTTCACCGTAATACGAATATCTGCCGGACAACAGTTCCGAGAACGGCTCCAGTTTGCCCATCTGTTGCACCACCGTGTTCATCGGTTGCACCGAGTTTAGATTCGTGTATTGTGATCCGGTTGTCTCGTCTTGAGCGAAACTAGCCTCGTAACTGGACGAGTGCTGTCCGGGATGAACCTGGCAGTTCCCCTGAATTGTTCCGGTGTTGTCCTGTCCATAAGGCGCGTAATGTGAGAACCCTGGATTTCCTGGCACCGTTTGGAATTGCGGCTGAAATTGCACCCTAGATGTAGAAGGAAGGTTAGCGTAAGGCTGATAATCCTGATAAGTAGGCTGTTGAAAGTTTACTCCGGCACTCGTTTGACCTGAGAACGTTTGAAAAGCTTGACTAAACTCAGGATGTAGTTTCCTTGAAGGACCCTGCGTACCATCAACAGTGTCTTCGCTAGGATAACAGTCGTCTCTAATCGCGTATAGATCCAGACTGTCCTCTCTTGTACCGGGCACTTCTGGCTGACAATTCGCCCCGCCGTCCCTAGCATCGTGATTCTCGTAATGTAGAGTCGTGAAACCGCCACCGTTCAAACAGGACTCTCCATTCCTGTTCTCCATCACCGATCCCAAATTAATCTCCCTCAACGGACTTCTGCCGTTCTGATTGTCGGAAGCATCGTGATCCGCCCCCTCCTCTTCCTCCCGGTGCTTCTTCTCTAACTCTAACCGCATCAAAGTGTGAATGAAATGCGTTCGTACCCGTACTGGATTGAACTCGATCCTGCCCGAACTGTTCGCGCAGCCATCTCGGGTACATCCACAAGGGAAACCCATTCGGTCAACCTATTAACATATATCACATTCATTTCTCATAAATATCTACTACGTCATTTGATCGTCAAGCGTCCCTATACTAACCTGACACTTTACATTAGCTCGACTACAAGGACAGCTCTCTGGGTCGCAGTATCCTTTACACCCGCAACCGCAATGCTCTCTACTTGCTCTAATGTCGCGACACTCGTCCTTCTCAACAGCATCTATTCTACGTACTCCTGCTGCTCTGAGTAAGGCTCGTCTTTGCCACGTAGGCACTGGCTGGAGGAAATAATAACTATCGATATCCAAGTCCTCGTTATCGCTCTGTTCCTCGTCCGTATCGTCGCTAGGATCCTCTGAACTTGAGGCAGCTTCTGATACGCAGTTTGCAGCACGCTCAGAGCGCAATTGCGCTAGTCTGGCACGATGGATTCGTCTCTGTTCCGCTGCGTGCTCCGATAACGAGAACCGCTCGGCGTGAGTGTGCGTCGCGCTCATGCCAAGAGTGCTGCCACCCTGAGGAAGATATATCGATTTTAGTACACTGTATTTATACGTACCATAAACACGTACTATAAAAATTAACAGTATTTAACACTTAACTACAGACATCTCTCTTTAAAACGTTACTGGGAAATTTTATTTATTAAATCATTGTATTATAAAAATAAGTCTAATAAATCTAGTAAGTTTAGTTTTTAAGGAAATGTAATTCAAACTCGTCTCTGAGATGAGTGATCTATAGTTAAGGGTTAAAATGACAAAAATTTAGAGAAATTTATAGTGAAAAAGAAAAAACAATTAAATGAAGAATTTTTACCTGAGAAGGCACACAAGTGAAACCCTGTGCCCTAGGAAAGTAGTAAACAGTGACTGCGTCGAACTGGATATTGCGTTTCTTTTTCATAGACTCCTCTGTACTGCTCCTTTTCGGGCTGGGAGCCCCTTCCATGCAATCCGTCAATCTTCGTTTCAGATTGCTCTTCGGAGGACTTGGGAAGTTCGTCAATGGCGTCTGTGGTGTACCTGGTACACCCACGGCCGGCACAAAGCTGTCCAATTGATTCACAGCTGAAAGAGAATGTCATTGTGTTCTCACATTTCGGGCTATACACACCTTAACGCATTCCTGATAACAATAAACGCATTACCAATCGAACGAACGAATTGCAGTTGAATAGATGTCTAAGATTGTTAAAAAAAATTTTGGAAAAATGAAGCTCTTGGTTTTTTTTTTAACGGAACACCCTATATTTCTTTACAGAAATTAAAAGAACATTAAAAATTGAATACATAGGTATTAAGGCATAATAGGTTTAAAGTAAGTATTTACTGAGATTATGTAGGGGAAGAGTCGGTAGCCCCAGACATTTAAATGAAATAGTAAAAATAGAGACTACCAAAAGTAATAGATTGCCATTAGACTATTACAAATATAAACTACCAATTAGGCAATCTAAGCTTTCAAAAAATGAACATTAGACCTTCTTCTTTCACTATAATACTAAAATTTGAGTATATCTCTTGTATGACTTTAAAAAACAAATCAGTGAATTTTGGCCTTTAGTTTTAAGGATTACAAAATGACGGATAGCCCCGGACAGTAATTTTTTTATTTACTTTATTCACTTTTTTGTTAAATATTCTTATAAACGTTGCAAATAATATTATATCATTCGTTATTATGTTATTTAAGTATTATATATTTATCATTATGAGTCTTCCTCGAAAGTTACTTCACAAACTAGTATCTTGACGCTATTCTTTATTTTTTTTATTGAATCTATGAGGAATATTAAAACGTTCTGCGAAATCAAAAGCTAGTTTTAAAAACTCTGTTCTAGTCAGTGGCATTAGGCGATTGTCCAATTGTTTCACATGATTATAAAGTTACTATGAAAATTCCTCATTAAAAGTTAAGTCAAAGCGACCTAATTTTAGCTTAAAAATGATTTCTCGACCGCTTTTTAAAGCCTTCGCGCGATCTTGTAGAGAACTACGTGGCACGTTATATTTTTCAGCAGCTAATCTTACTGATAATTCACCGTTCATAACATAAACAATTGCGTCTTTCGTGTTATTTTCATCCGATTTACCTTTATTGCTTATTCGTCCTACAAATTTCGGCATTTTTTACCCGTTTCTAAAATAAAACTATTTATATTATACAGAATCTTGGAAAGATATAAGCGGACGAACTATCGTAATAGGAAAATGTACCATTTTCAAATTTGCAATAGACAAAAGTGATCCAATATTTTTATTAACCATTTTTACAATACCAAAGAGACAAAAAAGAAAGAAACTCAAGGATCTTAAACTACATTTAATCGTCAAAACATAAATCAATAAAACACAAAAGAATGCTTACATTTAGTTCAGAATAATTTAGTTTAGAACAGAAACTCGCCTTTAATCGTAAGAAAATTAAGTGTGTATCGCTTGCCGATCGATCCAGAACTAACTGAAAAATGTGTCCGACGCTAGAAAGACGTGCAACAATGTGTCATTTGTTTCTTTATGCAGTTGAATAATTGAAATATTCAACTGACCGCGGTTACCCGCTGTCCAGGGCTACCCACACTTCCCCTACAATGAAAGTTTGACTGAAAACAGTGCTCGAACTGTTGAAAACACAGAGAAACATATTTCTTCAATAGAAAAGAACTTCTATTGCAAATATTTCAAGAAATATCCACTTTAGGCCTATCGCACCTTAACACATATTTACTCAGTTTTCAATGCTCTTAATTTCCGCAGAGAAATATTGGGTGCTCCATTAAAAAAAAAGAAAATCGAGGTAACCTTGAAAACTGCGCAAAAAATGCAGAAAAATTCTAGTTACTCTATAAACACGCCTCCCTTGAAAGCACGCAATTTTTTCTTCCTATACTTTCTCGTACAGCTAACAATTCGCAAGTAATTTCAAGCAGTCAAGTTAAACGAATCACCCTGTACGTCTAAAACCTCGGAAAACGTTACTTACGATATTAAAAGTCGTTCGTTTACCTTTCTCCTTGTCAGAGAGGATATCGTCAGGTATCCTATCCAAGAAAGAAGTCTCTGAATCGCTTTCGGGCACAGGTGCAGGCCCAGTATCCCCGGGAATCTCACTTCCCAGGCCAGAATCGCTTCCATCTGATCTAACTTCGTCCGGAGCACCGGTAGCAAGCGCCAAACTCTCCGCGGAATCCTCCGTGAAAGCTTCCGGCCTCTCCGGCTCCAGCCTGGATATGATCTCCGGATTAATATCCACGCAGCACATGGACTCGCTCTCCTGGCAAGATATTTGATCGGAAACCGCGTCGTCGTCGCATCCACCAAGCCGTACGTTCGTCATGGACGAAATTTCAGAGCTATCAGAGCCAGTCTCCGTTTCCGTCTCGGTGTCAATGGTTTCCGGAACATCCGCGGATGGTTCCAAAATCTCCTCCGGCGAGCTTGGTGTCGTCTCTTCTGTTGCATCTATATTATTCAACGGCTGTACATTCTCCGTGGAAGGTAACGGCGATGAAAACACTGTGTTCTCATCACCAGCTAATTTCTCAGCAACACTACTAGACGCCTCCTCTTCGTTCTTCGATTTTTGTACATCCGTTGTTGTGTCCAATTTCGGCACCGTTACCCTCTCCAAAATCACCCTGCACTTTTTAATCGCATTAACGGAAGGCGATTGTAGCTGAACCTGTGAAGTCTCTTCCGGCCTAGACACCACAGAAGAGTCCACCTGTTTCTCCTGCTCAGTCTTCTCGACGTTCTTATTCTCGTCGGCACACCTATCGACGAAACAACATTCCTCCAACGTATCTGCCGTTTCGATTCTCACGTCCACCTCGTCCGTTGCCTCGCTCTTCTTCTGTTTCTTGCTGCTGCTGTTGTTGTTACCATTATTACCGATAACGCGTTTCTTCTCTTTCTTGTCCGGCGTTACCTCGATACGTTCCAAGGAAACCATCAAACGTGGAAACGTGCTCATAGACGTCTCGGTGAACTGATCCATGGACTTTTTCATAAACGATTCGTTCATGGATACAGTATCGCTGCAGGGACACAGTTCTATAGGTTTCTCGCATTGTTTCGGCTCCTGGTACGATTTCAGATTCCTCTCGGGACTATCCCGCGGCAGGGAGCAACAAGAACTCTCGTCGATGAAAGAATCCGTATAATTCAATTTCACATCCATCGGCGTCTTGTTCACGCCTTCGTTGGCACACTCTCCTCCCTGAGACGGCGTGGCCGTCGTCGCTCTGCACACCCTGTCCTCCGACTCGGAACAACCTACAACCTCCACCTCGCCGTTCGTTTCGAACGACGTACTGTCCAGGCTCACATTGTTCATCGTTAACCTACACGTACAACCACCGCCACTGGTGAACGTCTCCTCGAGGAGGCTGTTGTTCCTCGGGATACACCGGGAGATAGACGAGGTTCCGGTGTTGTCGAAGAGGCACGAGTCAGAGGAGAGGGATATTTCACCTAGGGTTCGTTCTCGAAGGCTTACCAATATCGGGGAGATCCTTCTTACGTCGCTGCGAACCTGATTCACCTCGTTCTCTGGTACCTCGACACCGATCCTCTTGATCTCCGCGTTGATCGGCAGGAAATCGCTGGCTGGCCTCTTCCTGCATATCGGTGACGATGTTACAATACCGGTAGTTAAAAATACGTTATTATCCTTGGTTGATTTATCGACACACTGCTGTACAGTTGTCGTTGCCAAAGAAGAAGAGTCTGGCTGGTCTATCGACTCCTCTGCCTTTGTTTCTACCTTCTCCTTCTCCTCCTTCTCCACCTCTTTACCCTCTTCCTCCTGTTTCTTCTCTTTGCTCTGCTTCAAACCCATGTCCGGAGAGTCCGACTGACAATCGTTGCTCGAAATTTCCTTCAACACCTTCAACGACACCTTGCACAATTTTAGACTGACGAATCCCTGATTATCGCTAGGCTGACGTGGAACATCGTGAATCTGTTCGGAAGAGGAACTGGCTACGTTCTCCACCGCCGTCGATTCTTGCTCAGATGATGTTGCTGTCCCTGACGGCAATTCGACCGAGTTGGAATCCTCTTGGGCCGTAACGAGGCGGTCCTGGGCCGAAGGTGATTCCATCTGGAGCGTTCAATCTGTGTGAAACAAAAAAAATACAACGATGCGGTTAGATACAATTCAAAAACATTTCCATGATTCTACGACTAGACGAATGTTCTCCATTATTTCGAACATTCGGAAATGTGTCGAACGAGTTTATTTATATCGATCCTACAGTGGACATATCGTCACTGTTAAAATTGATTCATTCTACGTCATTTCTTTGATATCCTTCAAGGTAATCATATTCCCCGCGACGCCTGTTTCTCGAAATATCATAAGCAAATTGAGGGGGGAGAAAGAGAGAGAGAGAGAGAAGAGTAAGGAGGGATCAATAATCCGCCCGGCGATATCGCGCCACCGGTAAAACCGAAGAAAGACACGTCTCGTCGTGGTGGCGTTGACGATGAAGTGGGAAGAATAAATCGTGCATATCCGACAAAAATTTCTCCATTAATTATATTATAATCTCCTTTCTTTTTTCTTTCTTTCTTTCTTGTTTAAGAGAGAGAGAGAGAAAGAGGGACAGAGATAATCAAAAGCGTTTTGTATACACGTGATTCCGCCAGCCAGAGAGAGAGAGAGAGGGGGAGAAAGAGGGAGAGAGACAGAAAAAGAGAGAGAAAGAGAATTTGATGTCTTTAATCTCTCGATATCTTTCTTATCACGCCAGAGGAATATAAAAGAGGGTCTCATATAATCCTGGCCGGAGATTATTGATTCAAAGCTGGCAGGAGAGGAGCAGGAGGGAGGAAGGGAGGTTGGCTGGTTGGAGGTGGGGACAGAGGGGGAGGTTTCTGTCTGCCTTCGGTTACCCATGCGCGCACCTTGTACCCCTTATATACCCCAGAGAACTCGACGACTAGCCAGGTGTAAAAGGGTTCTTTCTTGCCTTCCGTTTTTCCCTTCTTTTTTTCCAATTTCCTCCTTTTTTTTTTACTTTGTTTTTTCTTACGTATGTGTATTTCAAGGTTTACTCTCGTTTGTACGTTTTTCTTTGTCTTTTTCGTTTTCGTTCTTTTTTTTTTTTTTTTTTTACCTTCGAGATGCACGATCTTCTGCCCCCACCACCACCACCTTCCGCACCACTCTGTCCACCGTGCACGAGGCTCGACCTCGACAATCGTTTATCTCGACGAAGCCTTTAAGTCGTCTCGCAACTCCAGCTGCCTCCATTCTGCCCACGAACAACCCGTCCGACCCTGAGACACGCCGCCATGCGACGATCGGCGTCCTCCATCGAGGACGAGAACGCGGCCCTCGAGTTGCACGGCATGCAACAATGTCCGCCTGCGCCACGAGCGAACGTACGTGCTAACCTTTTATCGACGAGACTTCCCTCTCTCGAGAATCGTGTCAGGAACGTTCAACGAAGAAACTATTCGATCGAGAGTTTCGATCAAGGTTCGCGGAGGTGAAGAAATGGTCGAAATATGGTTATTCTCAACGATGGTGGATATTAGAAAATCGTATATGGAGAATCGGTGAACTGGGGTAAGTCAGCAGGGTTTACAACGTCGTTCGCGAACACCAAAGTGAATCTGACGTGTGGCGAGATTAAACATGGAACGTCCTAACGAGAGGCATCTCGTCGTGTCTCGAACACACGGACTCGAAGAGTAGAGTGGACGTAATACGGGATAAGAGGCTGGTAACGGAGAAGAAACAGCCTCTCGATGAAAGATCCAAAGCAAACGCGCGGCGAGAACGAGACGAACGAGCGAATAAGAAGAGAGTGAGACTGGAGGCAGCCTGAACGATTCACGAACAGACTCTGACTGAGAAGGAATCCCAGAGTGTAGAAGAGAGACCCGGATTCTCCCGTTCAACGACGACAACAACGACGATGATACTCGATGCGAGAAAGCGAGGGAAATACTTGTTGTAAGTGTGAGTCGTGTTGGAGAGAGTTGTAGTGTACTCGTTCGAGACGAGTTAAGGAAGAAGCGAAGCGGAGGTGCGTGCGTCGCGTTCGACAGCTCGGAGCAGAGTGAACGGAGCTGCCTCGTAGCCGCGTCGATGACGACTCCGTTCGCCGCCGCTACTCGGCCACCTTCGGCTCCGCTCGGTTCTCTCTCCTCCGCACCGATGAAGGGTACACGCGTACCTTCCCCACATAGGAGTATGCGTGTTTGCGAATGTGTAATACAGTGTATACGGTGCGCCTACGAAACGCCGTGGTTCTCAACAACCGATCGAACCGGAATCCCAACTCCGTCGGCGTCTACGTCGACGTCGTTCGTCGCGCGATCAATTCTCCCTAGCCTCTATTTTCGGCCTTTTTCAGAAACTACTACAGCTTCTGTGGATATTTAAGTGTGCACACGGGGGCAACTATCCTGCTGCTTGCTGGAGGAGAAATTGAAGGAGAGAAGAAAGGAAAGGGGATATAGGCTGCAGGTTTTTCGAAGCGCTCATTGATTACATCGGTGAAATTCCGTGGCCTTTCTAGAGTAATTCTATTTTCTGCGCACTCGTACACATGGCAGAGATACGCCGTAGTAAAATTAACGACAAGTATTATTAACTTTTCTAGATTAAGTACGTAGTGTTCTTTCTTCTTTTTTGATTCAATGGTGTGACTACAATGTCAGCCATGTTTCGATGACGCGCAAGTATACGCAAACGCGTCATAATCCGTAGACGAATAACAATTGCGTTTTCCAGAAGTGATTTTGGTATTTTCATTTACGTAGTGTTTATTTATTAACACCTTAAAATACAAGTTATATTCATGATGAACTGAGAAATAATTGGATAGTCAAAGTGACTTTAACCGAAGATTGTACGATAAAAAGCAAAGTATGGTGCTCTGTATTCGATACGAAGATCTCAAATACGATTGAAATACGAATAATGAGGTATCCATTACGAAATCGACGAAACGGTCAGAAAAAGAAACTGAAGTGGTGGACACGTTATGATTCAACGGCGGGACCGTCCATCCAGTTATTTAAATTAACCTCGTTACATTTGCCCGTGGACAGTCGACGACGATTATCGAGCATCATCGGTGAAAAGCTTGGCCACAGTTCTCCGCGCGTGCATCATTGTATGCGGCAAGCGACTGTTTCCAGCGTGGCTACTAAGAATTCCGAACTTCCAACAATTCGAGAGTCCTTCCTTATAAACAGGAAATAAGAAGATCTCCGGCGAGCAACTGCAGAGAATCGCGCATCATCGATTCCAGCGATTGACTAACCTCTGAGAAACATGAAAAGCTACGTTACGTTCGTCCAAAAGCATTATAATGTTAATATTGTCTGTTATTATAATTTACTATCAAAGGAATTTACAACAATTTAATCTGTATATAATTTAAAAATACAAATTAGGTTCTTCATGATACAAAGTACTTATTAACCTTTGTGAAAAAAGTTAGGTTAGGTTTCGAACAGTGATCTGACAACTCGACGCCTCTTACGATACTACTAGTGATTCTTTATTGTTTTCCTTGTATTTTATTTTTTAATAAAAAGAACTACTTAAAACCAAATAATATAAACACAAAACGTTTTTACTCACTTTAAAGATATTGACAACCTAACCTAACTAACAACGTAGCACTCTCAGCTCAAACGCGTCCATAATATTCAGGAGGCTACGAGAAGAAACAACGGCGCCGTTTTGCAAAAACGACACCCATGAAAACCACTGATACAGACGATATATTCACAGTATACTAAACAGGTTTCCGTCGTTACATAAGTGAACGTACACCAAGTGACTGTATCACTCTTATCATTACCCTTGCATTCGCCTTTTCTGGCAGATTTACATCGGAGGCCTCGATGATTCAGACAGGCAGCGTCATACGAGGTCACTGGTGGAAAGAACCGACTTGGAAACTGAAAATTCTCCCATCCAGTAGCCCATCTCACGAAGGTTAAACAAGCAATCCACGTTGATCGGCACCCAAATATTCACGCGAGCATCCGGATGTTTGAAAATTCATGCGCGCAACGCCGATCCACCGGGCTCTCGACTTCAACCGTAATGCATTTTAAAAGTGGAAAGTCTTGCATAGATGGCGCTGCTCGTAGAATTGGCGCGGTATTGTCTACGAGCCTCCCGACTCTCTTTTTCCCTCTTTCATATCCGCCATCTCGCTCTGTCTCTTCGTTTCTCTCCTCTCGTTCCTCGTTTCTCACATTTATATTTTTCTTTCTCTTTGTCGCACGCACACACACGCGTCTCGCTCTCACGAACGGTTCAACGAACGAGAGATCGCGGCGCTTGCGCACACGGCCCTCTGCACGACCGCCGTAATTGTCGCTACGCTGCGAAAGTAGGAGTACAGCGACAACCCTATGCTCGTCTCCTTTCAATCTTTCTCTCTGTGTGTTTTTCTCCCAACCGTCCCCAGATTTTCCTCTTTTCTACCCTCCCCCTTCTCCTTCTTCGTTTTCTTCCCTTTCTCTGTTTTTCGTAGAAAAGTAATGGCACATTCATGCCGCGACAAAATATCAAAACGGCCGAGCCGAGAGAAAAAATTCTCGGCCCGCCTCCGCGACCGACACCAGCGTGTTACATCTTCCCTTTCTCTCGATAACTTCCGCTACGAATTTTTCGCCCCTACATTAACCCATAGAAGGAACGTAGACTCAATTTGCTCGTATGGTTATACATTTCAATATTCTCTGTGAATTTTTTTGCGATATAGAATTTTTTCCTAAATTTCCTTTACATCCTTACCTATATGACATAATATTCGAATATTAAATACATTTGATATAATATATTAAATGATCAGCGATGACTCTTCTTTATAAATTGTTTTTCTTTCACTGGCATTCATGGAAGAATTAACTATGCATATTTTGACACGAGAATGTAGTCATCAAAAGTACTCAGATAATTAACACAGATGTCAGAGTGTACGTTGTCGTCCCTGAATCGATGAAAAGGTCACTTGGAACAGACAATCCTTTAATTACATCGTGAACAGCGTCACTCCAAAAGATGAAACGCGATCCACCGCGTCTCCAATTAAGCCTCGTTGAAATTTTACGTAGCATCGCTAAATGTTTCCGAC